AAACCCTGTGGACGCTGTGGAAACAGAACAACTGCGAGAATTGCTTTTGCACGACATCTACTCAAGTGCATGCTTTTGAACTGGGTCCCCCAGTGTGGACGCTGCTCGATGTGTAAAAAACCCAGCCGATGTGAGATAACCCGACCACCTAGTACTAGTTGTACTCGACATCACCTGCTTTTCAGCTCATTACTTTGTCTTCCGAAGACTTCCATTCTTATGCTTTCTTCTGTTCAAGCGGGTGCCCTCACTAATCAAGATCTCGGAGTAAGGATTTCCACTGGACTTCCTTTTGAGGGTTGCCGCGTCGTTTCGAAAGCTAAGAATGTTGTCCACACGGTACGCAATGCGCCCATTTCTTTGGAGAACAGTAGCAACTGTGAAAGGCATGGCTGGAAAAAAAATTGTCTGAAAAGGTTCGCCAACATAATTCCGACCCTGTGATCCACATTGTGCCTCCAACAAATGACACTTGCAGCTTGTTCAGCCTGCATCGGACCTCTTCTGCGTGGCTTGCTTGGGCTACAGTCTACTGCTGGCACTGGCGCACATGCTGAGCCACACTGTCATCAGGAGATACAACCAGCCAGAGCCTAGCGGGCTCAGCCGGACAAGCTTGACCACGTGGCAGCGTGGAAACTTGCGCAACACACTTTCTAGAAGTGCACTGGAACTAGCAGTTTCAAAAGAAGCGAGTCAGCACTTCTGCCCGAACCGAAAGGAGGCATGGCTCGAAACTCATCAAGCCAGATGGTCCATAACACGTAGCCACGGCCTACTGTCATGAAGTAAACGGCGATGTAGCTGGGAGGCGTCTTGCCCCATATGCGGCCCTGCACTTTGTCAGGATCAAACCCTCACCAGACAAATTGCTGGCTGCATGCTGCATAAGCTTTTACAATACTGAAATGTTTATGCGTACTTGCCAGATTTAGGCCAGCTGTCTAGTCCCAAGGTTGAACGTAGCGTTGTTTACAAGGCTAAGATAAGACTGCACTGCGGGGCAAATATATACATGCATGTTCCATGATCGAGTCCTCGGTGAAGACACTGGTTGTGAAGCCCAGAACCACTGCTGAGACGAGGTGGTACATGTCCTGTGAAAAATCACAAAAATCACCTGCTCATGAAATCACGATGTCATGAAAGCGATCAAAACGCTGCAAACAAGCTTTCCGGGTGACAGAAGTTACCAAAGCCAAGGCTCCATCTTGTCCACAGTAAGCTTCACTAGGTCTTCAATGTCTTCGCGGAACCTCACAAGCTCAAAGAGCACTCAAACAGCTGTTAACAGCTAACAGCGAAAAGATTGAGAAAGTCTGACGAAAACAATCCAGCAGCAGCTCCAAACGCTCCACCTGCATCTTGTACTTTTGCACCTGATGCCAACCAAAAACTGCAGCAATAGTCGCGGTAGCATTGGAAGCACGTGCGGTTCAAGAAGCTCGAAGGACGGGGAATTGGCTAGCTCATGGCAAAGTGGAGAAGCAGCTGTGCCGCTTCTCTTGCCACTCCTGATACAACCACCACCACCACCACCAC